TCTTCTTGATGAAGTGTCCCTTTGATCATTATATAATGTCCCTCTGTGTCTCTCTTTACCTGCCTTATTTTGAAATCTGTTTTGTCTGATATAAGTATTGTGACACCGGCTTTCTTTTGTTTGCTATTAGCTTTGAGTATTGTCTTCCACTTCTTCACTCAGAGCCTGTGTTTGTTCTTGGGGCTGAGGTGTGTTTCCTGGAGGCAACAAATTGTTGCATCTTGTTCTTTAATCCATTTTGGCACTCCGTGTCTTTTTATTGGAGAGTTCAATCCGTTTACGTTGAGGGTGAGTATTGATGCATGAGGGCTTAATGCTGTCATTCTGTTGCTCATTATCTGGTTTTCCTGTTTTTCCTTTGTTTCTCGTCCTGTGTGTTTTAGCCTACCCATTGACTTCTGCAATTCCTTATGCTGGGTTTCTTAGATTTCCCCTTATTTATGTTTTGTGTCTCTGTTCTGTTTTTTAGTTTAGTGGCTACCCTGAAGTTTGTATTCAGAATCTCGTGTATAATATAGTCCATTTTCTGGTGGTCTCTTATTTACTTGACCTAGACTGATTTAGTCCCTTTGCTCTTCCCCTCCTAAATTATTCTCTTCATCTCTTCTTCCAACTCGTGTTGTGAGTTTGTGGTTAGAGTGATAAGATCGTCTTTGCTTTGGTGGTTTCCTTCCCTTTATCCTAATGCTATAGTTGAATATTTGTTATCTTATTCTGATTCTATCTGTTTGTCTCCCTACTCTGTGATTTGTGACCCCTTTCTCCCTTTTTTTCTTTTTTCAGGTATGAAAGCCTTCTTGAGGATTTCTTGTAGTGGAGGTCTTTTGGTTACAAAGTCCCTTAGCTTTTGTTTGTCTGGAAAATATTTAATTTCTCCCTCATATCTGAAGGATATTTTTGCTAGATAGAGTATTCTTGGCTGAAGATTTTCATCCTGTAAAGTTTTGAATATGTCATTCCATTCTCTCCTAGCTTGTAAAGTTTCTGTGGAGAAATCCGCTGAAAGTCTGATAGAAGTTCCTTTGTAGGTTATTTTCTTCTGCCTTGCTGCCCTGAGTATTTTTTCTTTGTCATTCATTTTTGCCATTTGTACTACTATATGCCTTGCAGTAGGTCTTTTTACATTGACAAATCTAGGATATCTGAAAGCTTCCTCCATACACATTTCTCCCTCAATCCCTAGATTTGGGAAATTTTCTTCTATTATTTCTTCAAGCACTCTTTCTGTTCCATTTTCCTTTTCCACACCCTCAGGGATTCCAATAATTCTTAAATTGGATTTCCTCATTGAATACACTATTTCTTGGAGATTTTCTTTTTCTTTTTAAAAATTGTTAATTCTCTTTCTTCCTCTGTCTGGAGCCATTCAGCCTGTCTATCTTCGATTATGCTAATTTGCCCTCTATGGTATCTACACGTGCATTCAGGGAATGCATATTCTGTTTTATCTGATCTGTTGTATTTTTCATCTCTAGTATTTCTGATTGATTCTTCTTTATAGTTTCAATCTCTTTTGTGAAGTAACTCCAGAACTCATTGACTTATTTCTCTATATTTACCTTTACCTCATTGAGTTTTTTGATGATAGCTACTCTGAACTCATTTTCACTTAGTTTACCTATTTCCAAGTCCTCAGGACTTAGTTCTGTGTTTTTATTGTTTTCCTTGTCATCTGGAGCTTTTATAAATTGCTGGATGGTAGAGGAGTGGGTTTTGCTCATGATGCTATTTTTCAGTTGCAGTTACAGCCTGTCGCCACTAGATGGGGGTCGAGAGCCACCCATTCTGAGCCGGCTGCCTTCAGCTGCGATGGCGGTGCACAGAGTGGGTTGGGGGAGGAGGGGCACTTTCTCTCACATGTGGAACTGGATTCCAATCAGCTCTCGCTCTCTGGTTTCCCTGGGCCCTGACTTGATGGGGTCCCCGCACACAAAAGCTTTCCCCTGTTAGTGGGTTTCCACTGCATGGGTGGTGGGAGTCCTGGACCATCCTGTGGATATGTGGCCCCTCCCCCGCTCCTTCCCTCACCCTCTGCAGTGACCCCAGTCTTTAGGGGAGGGAGTGAAGTTCTCTCTTACCCCGTTCAAGCTCCTCCAGGGGCGGCTCCAGCCTCTCCGCCCTCCGTCGTTTGGCTGCTGTGGGTCTCTGACGATCTCTGTATTATTAGAATTATTGGTTGAAATTCAGTTGTTCATTTTTGGTTGTAGTTTGGAGAGGAGAGAGTCCTGGGTGAGCTCACTCCGCCATGTCACTGACGTCACGAATCTGGACCTCCTGGATTTAAAAAAAAAACCTTTGCTTTTTGATTTTATCTTCCTACGATTTCTGCTAAAACCATTTTTTTTAATTTGGCTATCATAATTTTAATTTCCAAGAGCTCTGTCTTATCCTTCATTTATTCTTCAGTCAGTTACCTTATGATGCATGAAAAAATACCCTAAGACTTAGTTGCTTAAGACAACAAAGAAGTCCAATTTCTGTATTTTTCCTTTTGTTGCTTGTGCTTTTGGTGTTATATCTAAGAAAACATTGCCAAATGCAAGGCTAAATCCTTACGTTTTCTTCTAAGAGTCAGAGTTTTAGCTCTTTCATTTTGAACTTTGATCAATTATGAATTAATTTTTGTATATTGTGTGAGGTAGGGGTCCAACTTCATTCTTCTGAATATAGATATGCAGTATCCCAGCACCATTTGTTGAAAAGACTATTCTTTCCCCCATTGAATTGTTTTGGCACCTGAATAGGAGAAAGCCAGTCCTCCTCCTCCCTGTCTCCTTTGCTATCACATACTACCACACTCACAACACTTCTGACACCAGATGTGTGGGAATTTTCCCCACACTAAGCAATTCTGTGACACCAGCTGGAAGTCCTATAATTTAGCTCAATTCTGACGCCATCTGCCTGGAGAAAGCATCAGATCCCACAGATTAAGAGCTCAATCCTGCAAGATTGCCCCCTTCCCCTTCAGATGCCAATCACAAGTCCAGGTTGAAATCTGAGGTTCTGACTAATCAACTGTAAATCAGAGGTTCCCAGGACTCCCTCCTCAGGTTTCATTAATTTGCTAGAACAGTTCACAGAACTCAGGAAAACACTTTACTTACTGCTACTGGCTTATTATAAAAGGATATGATAAAAGATATAGATGAACATCCAAAAGGAAGAGATGCATAGGGTAAGGTTTGTAGGAAGGGGCATTATTTCTCTGGGGACTAAGCATTTTCTGAATATTTCTGAGCAACATTTCCTAAATATGTGTAATACATATTTTCAAATGTATTTAGATGCTGTTGTGGATGAAGAAGTATGAATTCATATATTTCAGGATTCACAATAGCTTTCTGTCCTTTTTATCCAGACAGAAGTTACTAAAGGTATAACCAAATGCTTGTGGCTGAGGGTCTCCATGACAATGTCTAACCTAAAGAAATAATCTTCATGTGAGACTATAATGTCCATGAGGGCAAAGATCTTGCCTGCCTTATAGTTTTCTAAGTCTCTATTGCCTGGTACATATAATAGGCACTTAATAAATTCTCATCTGTTTACTGTTTGCAAAGGAACAAATGAATACATATTCACATTGTTGGGAAACACTGCTTGCATCGTCAGTGGATATTTGTCACTGGCTTGATTGTGGCAATGGGAGCAAAAAGGTCTGTAGCATTTCAAGAATTAGATTTCAAGAGTCTCAATGCTTTAGGGCTCCTAACCTATCCAGGGAGCACTTCATGGGTTAGAGGTACTAGCTGGTAATAGAGGAAATTGGGAGCCAAAGTTTTCCATCTCTGCTGAGGTGGAAACACCCTTCTCAGGGTAGGAACAAACCAACACAGGGAAAATCCTGTGATTGGTCACACAGGAAGAACTTGCCAGCCTTAAGTTTTCTCTGCAAGTTAGGACCCCCATGATCATGCTCAAATGTGTCACTAGGCACACCCAGACACACACGTACACCCGGACACGACACACACATACAGGTGCTCCCCCTCCCCCACATTATACAAGAATCTGATGTAAATGAATCTCATTGTCAGTGATTTAGAGGAACTATTTATTTTTATTTATTTTTTAAAGATTTTATGTTTCCTTTTCCCCGCAAAGCCCCCTGGTAGATAGTTGTGTATTTTTAGTTGTGCGTCCTTCTAGTTGTGGCATGTGGGATGCCGCCTCAGCATGGCCTGATGAGTGGTGCCGTGTCCACGCCCAGGACTTGAACCAGCAAAACCTGGGGCTGCTGAAGCAGAGCGTGTGAACTTAACTGGTTGGCCACAGGGTGGCCCCCTAGAGGAACTATTTAAATGGGCCATTAGTAATCTGCTTGTCAAGGCAAAAAGTTCATCTCTGATGGTAATATTTGTACTGATTTATAAATGTTGGAAGCTTAGAATTTTGTATTTGAGTTTGCTTCAGGCTTCATACACCTGTTTAAATGAGGCTTCTACTGTCGTAAGGGAAAAGAATTGGATTTTCTTTGTAGATGGAGTTGGCAGGTTTTTAGAAAGAAGTCTTCATTATTAAGTTTTGAGAAAGAATCACTCATCAGTCATTACAGAGGAAAAGAGAGAGGGAATGGAGTGGTGAGCTGGATGATGGGTCATGTCAATCTACTAACAGTTTGCTTTCCACATTGGAAAAAAACTTTTTCAGCTTCCAGACTCCACTTCTAATCTAAGTATGTGATGTTGGTGGTGAGGCAGAGTGTGTGACTTGGCTCCCTTCACCCTCTCGGTTGGGTATATGTCATTGGCAGTGACTTAGTCTGGGGATACAACATGTATTTATAGTGAAAAGATAAATATACTAACCTTGTTTAGAAAATTATACCCCAAGCTTAGAAATCCCAAGGAAAGTAGGTTCACCCACTTCCAGGAAAAGGACTTGGCCCCTCTGCCTGTGCAACCTCATCCAGGCCCTGAGCTCAGCTTGTGTTTCTAAGAGGGGACAAATCCAGGCTGGCTGACTTCTCTAATTTCCTTCACTTTTTTTCACTACAGTTACTTCAGGATGGTAAAATGGAGAAGCTTGAGGAGCTTGTCGAAAAATACCCTTGTGCCTTTCCTTGCTGGGTTGGGCCCTTCCAGGCATTTTTCTATATCTATGACCCAGACTATGCGAAGACATTTCTGAGCAGAACAGGTAAGAAAAGAGGGAATCTCAAGAATGTAATCCTCATAGGATGATATGCGCAACCCACAGGCAGGACTCTAAAGGAATTCTGCAGCAGAGATCAGTACTGGGCCTTTATGAGACACTGGAGAAAATGTGGGGAGGTTTCCTACCAATCCTGAAGGGGATCCCATGTCCCCCAGGCCCTGGTCTGGTTCAGGCTCCCGTGGGCCCTTTTAGGTCAGTATATCTCAGAGGCCAGGAAGCACCCCCAGATCACCAGGGGCTTCCTTTGCCTCTCTTGCTTCTGTGACTTCAGTGTCAGCAACACTCCCCACCCTCAGCCCCTTTCTTGAGCAGAGTCTTCAGGGGATGCTGACGTAGCTCTGCCTCTACTTGTTCAGTATGTCAGCCTGATTCCTAGATCATTAATCTACCCGTCTAACCTCTTGATTGCGGTCCAAATATTGTTTTTCTTTTCTCCCTGTTTCCCAACTGTGCTCCCTTTTGGGGGCACACATCATCTGACTCCCCCATCCAATCCTTTTCCGTGGCTTCCATGGTGGAATATCTCATAGCTAAAATTTAAACGTGCAGTTCTTGCTCCACAAACTCTGGTATCCTCATCTTTCGTCCCTGTGCCCTTGTCTCGATTGCTCTCAGTCAATCCTAGTACAAGGAAGCAGCCTTTCCCTGCAAGTCTCCATGTTGCCCCTCCCCCAGCTGATTCCTCTCAAGCTCACCTCTTAAAGCACACGAGCCTAAACATCTCCAGGTGAGAGTTCAGGGGGCTCCAGGCGGCATTTGTACCTCCCTCTCTGGTGTCTGCTGCCCCAGCTCTAAGAGTTCATTTGGTTTCCAGAAAGGATACAATATGTTGTCCCAACTCCTGTCCTGGAACCTTGTGACTGTCAGCAATCTCTGTGTCTGTTGGAGGAAGTGTAAACAAGGGAGGAACCTGGGTTCTTGAACCTGTCTGTCTTGTGGGCTTTCTGTTCTCTGGTTCCAGAACCAAGGCTTGGGGTTTCCCCGGGCCTGCCAAGGGCTGTAGGAAGTGAGCTCTGGGCTCCCTCTTACTCACTGTTTGTGGTTAGTGCAGCCAAATGAAGAGAACTGTCGCCTGTGGTGACCAGTGATTTTCCTCTGATGCTGTCTCTTGTCTCCTCTGCTTGTCTCTGCAGATCCCAAGTCCAAGTACCCATGCAAGGTCTTGCTTCCATGTCTTGGTATGTATGTGCAAATGAGAGGGGTGCCCCGCTCTCTCGCTTGAAGTCCCCTTTCCATTAAAGCATTAGTTCCTTGTGAATTTTGTGTTCCCAGTATAGTTCATGGATTGGTTTGGAGTTGAGAGGACATGAATATTTGTTGTGTTTCTACTTTGAGCTAGAGACCAGGCTTGTATATAGACAAGACCAGCTAGAGAAGGTGCCTTATGTATACACCTTCCTTTAATGTGCCCAGCGACACAGTGAAGTAGATATTTATTATCACACTTTATGATTGAGAAAACCAAGCCTCAGGAAGTTTAAGTGACCTACTCTATTATGTCATATGCCGCATAATGATGTTTTAGTCAATGATGGAGGGCATATACAATGGTGTTCCTATAAGATTATTACCATATAGCCTAGGAGTGTAGTAGGCTATACCATCCAGGTTTGTGCAAGTACACTCTATTATGTTTACACAGCCATGAAATCAACTAACAACACATTTTTCAGAGCATATCCCCATCATTAAGCGACATATGACTCTACTAGACAGGTCGTAACTGGGGATTCCAGGATTATCACTTTCATCAGGCTTTTAAACTTGGAGTCTTTCTCACGAAGCTAAATACATCCATCCCAGATGTAAGCATCAAAACTCCCCTCAATCTTAACAGATGGGCACTGCTTTGATATTCCACTATGTCATGACCACCTATGCATCATGGTCATTCCATGATGTCTGTGTTCCTCACCTTTCCTTCCTTGTCTCATCTAATAAAATAGCATGAGGTTTTGTGCCTTTTATTTCTCAAGGAAAAGGACTAGTGAGTCTCGATGGACCCAAGTGGTTCCAGCACCGTTGCCTATTAACTCCTGGATATAGTGCTAACATCTTGAAATCATATGTCGAGGTGATGGCCCATTCTGTGAACATGATGTTGGTAAGTGAAGGGACAAAAGTGCTCTGGTGTGTTGCAAAATGCTTCCAACAGGGACTGGGTTAGACATATGTTTAATGGGCAGTGAGAGTCTAAGGGGGATGATTTCTAGAAATTAACCAATGTGCAAGTACCCACTGAGCAATAGGTGTCCATGTAAAGCTTTGGGATTGTTCTTGGGGTGATAAAAAAAAGAGGAAGATCTGGTCATCTATCTTAGATATGTTTTGAGATCCTATGGCAGTAAACCAAGGACCAAGTAGTAGGATTCAGACGGTAGGTGCTGTAGGCCACGGGTGAGGAAACCAGGAGCGCCTACAATAGCTTCAGATTCAGAGGAGACTCCAATTTACCATGAATGTGTGCTGCACTAGAACATGTGGGTCATATGGACGAGGGCGTTCTCGGCAGAGTGAGTCTGTGTGAACAAGGGTTTGGAGTTTGGAATGGACTCTCCTGAAGGCCATAAAGGACCTAGCAAAGGCTAAGTGTCTACACTGAAGTGGCAGATGTGAGTGTCCTCTTGTAGACAGTGGGTGATCTTTAGGAGTTGACCTGCGCCCTCCAAAGGGGCAGGAGGACTGTGCAGAGGAATATTCCTATGGGCGGTCCCTGGTGTATAAGTGAGTTCTATTCCCAAACTCCACTGTACGTGATATCCTTTAAAGTGCACTTATTTAAAAATCAGACGAGTACCTCATTAATACAGTCTCGTCATAAACACTTCAGACACCGCAAACAAAGCCCAGGTTTCCCTCCCCCTTTTGCAAACCCATCTCTTTTCTCTAGAACTGCTGTTAGCAGCTGGTTGGCTGGGCTCTCAGCCAAGCTCACAGAAGCGGATTTAACCTGAAGTTTGCCAGATTGTGGTGAAAATACCCGTGTGAGTTCTCAAGGCAGAGAGCTGGAGGCACAGGCTAGAGGGCGGGGCATGCTGCTCCTGTTTGGTGCTGCGCAGCTTTATGCACGATTGCAAACCAGCCGGTGGTGCTCTTTGAGTTTATCTCCTTTTCGCTAAACCACTTCCATCTTGCTGGCTTCTCAGTCCCACGTTTCCCTGAGATTCCTCTCACAGCTTTCCCTCTGCTGAGTTGTCCAAAGTGCCTCCAGCTTTGAGCCGCCTCTTTGCTCTCATTTCTTCTAAACTCACTCTTTGTACTCAGCAAAACTTACATAATTCAAGATGAAAGCAACTGACTAAACAATTACATTTAGGTAGAAGCATTAAATAATGTTTTTTTCCTGTGGCCTCCAAATTCTTAGCACTCAGCCGTAGGCATACGTGCTCAACAAGTATAGGTTGATGTGAACTTAAACCTTGAGATTTATATGTATTTTGACAGAAAGAATGCTTATTATCACAAATACACATTCAACAGGGGACTTTGTGGCAGTTTAAGCTACAAAACCTTTCAGGTGTGTGAGTAGGTCGTTTTCGGGGAGGTAAAGTGGACGCAGGCAGCGCTTGGCTGGGCGTCAGCTCCCTGCAGCTGCTCCAATCATGGCTTGTCTCTTTCTCCCACTTCTCAATAGAAAATGGTTTTCCCCCCAATGTTCCAGGTTTATTTTAAGAGTGGTTATGGTGTTTGAGAGTAGTGTCGGGGTGGGGTGTCTAGCAGTTTGGGGATGCTGATGGAGGAAGCCCTGTAATTATGGGTCTTGTAGCAGAGACTGTCTTTTTACTGGGACTCTGATCTGTGTTAAAGCAGAGTTATGGTAATAATTGAAAGGCCAAAGCTCCTTCACTCAGCCACTTACCAGACACCTGGTTTACTCCATCTTCTTTCTCACCCAGCTGGGTTCATTTTCCCTTCCTCATGCCAAAGAAGCACTTGTCTTACTGCCCTTCATGACCTTTGGCTCCTGCTCGGTCGGGGCTGTCTCCCTCACGTCATAAGGGCAGGGTCAGAGAGGAGTCTTCAGATACAGGCGGTCTCATGATGGTGATGCTGTTGATCTTGACCTCCTGTGCCAGGGCAAGTGGGAGAAGATTTGTGGCACTCAGGACACGATCGTGGAGGTCTTTGAGCACATCAACTTGATGGCCCTGGACATACTCATGAAATGTGCTTTCAGCCAGGAGACCAACTGCCAGATAAACAGGTCAGCTATGGGAGGACAAAAAAGACACTTGTTTGCCATTATCTAAGTCATTTATTGACATTATCCTCACTTTCTCTTCTAGCCACTGTGATCTTTATGTAAAATCGACATTTGAAGCCAGCAAAATCATCTTTTATCGCTTGTACAGTTTCTTACGTCACCACAACATACTTTTCAACTTCAGCCCTGAGGGTCACCGCTTACAGGAGACCAGCCAAATGCTGCATCAGCACACAGGTAGTTCTTGGGTTTGAGCTGCCCATGGCCATAACGCTTTCATCATTGTACTGTGTCTGTCTGGAGAAACAGGCCTCAATGTGACAAGAGAAAGAATTCTTGTCTTAATGGAGCTCTTATGTGGACACTGCTCAAAAGATATACAAGTCCTTACAAGAGTTTGATGCATCCATAGTGGTAGTCTTATCAGAAATTTTCTATATATTATGCAGTTTTTACTATGTACAATTTTTATGAATACAAATATAATCCAAGTGGGCATTTAATATTTCAAGACACACATGGCCTACGGCTTTTTGCCCATTTATTGCCATAATGATGACAAACTAAGAGCATTCATGCAACATAGGAATGAAGAGGAGAACAGAGTAAACATGGACATATATTGAAAAGAAGAGGGAAATGAGGAGTCGTTCAACGGGTGTGAAGTTTCAGTTATGCCAGCTGAGTAAGTTCTGGAGATCTGCTGTCCAACACAGTGTCTATAGTTCACTATGCTGTGTTGTACGCTTACAAAGTCACTAAGTGGGTAGATCTCAGGGTAAGTCTTCTTACCACAATAAAAAACTAAAGTAAAAGAAGCCCAGTTCAAAAATAAATAGTTTTAGCAAAACTAACATAAAAGTTGAGATAAAGCTTTTTAAGCAATTCAGCATGACTTTTCATGAGCATCAGATAGAGCATATTTATCAAGCAGTTAACTAATCCTTTTTCAGCTCCACGTTTACTAGCAGTGTGACTTTGTTTTGTCTCAGTGTCTTCTGTAAAATGGGGATAAAAATGAACCAATCTCATAGGTTCATGGTGATGATTAAATATGTTAATATATGTAAGCACTTAGGAGAGTGCCTGCCGTGGAGTAAAGGTTAACTATCAGATATATTTACCCATAGGAAATTTGCGAGACACACCTGCACTTGCACACTCACAGACATAGGTGCACACATGAACCTAGATGTGGCAAGGAGGACAGTCCGATAAGCAAGTTAGAAACAATTAAGACATAAACGGGCATTATTTACAGCGAGAGTTCTCAAACCTGTTCGCATGATGACCATACAGAAAATGTAAACGTTTGTGTGGCTCGTTGGAGTAAACAGGAGTGGATTTGGGGGCATCTCCATGGGACTTGTGAAAAAAATCTTTATGTTGTCTTTGTATTACATAATTATGGTGAGAAAATGCAAAGTATTAGGTAAAAGATTAAATGTTACAGTTGTTCAAAATAAAACCTTTCAGGGGCTGGCTCTGTGGCCGAGTGGTTAAGTTCGCGCCCTCCGCTGCAGGCGGCCCAGTGTTTCCTTGGTTCGAATCCTGGGCGCGGACATGGCACTGCTCATCAAACCACGCTGAGGCGGCGTCCCACATGCCACAACTGGAAGAACCCACAATGAAGAATATACAACTATGTACTGGGGGGTTTTGGGGAGAAAAAGGGAAAAATAAAATCTTAAAAAAAAAAACCTTTCAAAAATTTTAATTTTTCTTTAGTTAGATTTATCAATATTTGCTTTCATTGAATCTGGATTTTTAAAAATTTTATTGATGTCATAATAGTTTATAACATTGTGTAATTTCAGTTGTACATTATTATTTGTCAGTCACAATATGAATGTGCTCCTTCACCCCTTATGCACACTCCCCAACCCTTTTGCCCTCTGGTAACCACTAATCTGTTCTCTTTGTCCATGTGTTTGTTTATCTTCCACATATGAGTGAAGTCATACGCTGTTTGTCTTTCTCTGTCTGGCTTATTTCGCTTAACATAATACCCTCAAAGTCCATCCATGTTGTTGCAAATGGGACGATTTTGTCTTTTTTTATGGCTGAGTAGTGTTGCATTGTGTGTCTTCTTTATCCAGTCATCAGTCAATGGGCACTTGGGTTGCTTGTACCTCTTGGGTGTTGCAAATAATGCTGCAGTGAACATATGGGTGCATAGGTCTCTTTGAATTGTTGGTTTCAAGTTCTTTGGGTAGATACCCAGTAGTGGGATAGCTGGGTCATATGGTATTTCTATTTTTAATTTTTTGAGAAATCTCCATCCTGTTTTCCATAGTGGCTGCACCAGTTTGCATTCCCAGCAGCAGTGTATGAGGGTTCCCTTTTCTCCACATCTTCTCCAATATTTGTTGTTTTTTTTCTTGGTAATTATAGCCATTCTAACAGGTGTAATGTGATATCTCATTGTAGTTTTGATTTGCATTTCCCTGATAATTAATGATGTTGAACATCTTTTCATGTGCCTGTTGGCCATCTGTATATCTTTGGAAAAATGTCTGTTCATATCCTCTGCCCATTTTTTGATTGAATTGTGCTTTTTTGTTTTTGAGTTGTATGAGTTCTTTATATATTTTGGAGATGAGCCCCTTGTTGGATATATGATTTGCAAATATTTTCTCCCAATTGGTGGGTTGTCTCATTGTTTTGCTCCTGATTTCCTCTGCCTTACAGAACTCTTTAGTCTGATGAAGTCCCATTTGTTTATTTTTTCTTTCGTTTCCCTTGCCAGAGTAAAGATGGTATTTGAAAAGATCCTTCTAAGACCAGTGTCAAAGATTATACTGTCTATATTTTCTTCTAGGAGTTTTATGGTTTCAGGTCTTACATTTAAGTCTTTAATCCATTTTGAGTTTATTTTTGTGTATGGTGTGAGATAATGGTCTACTTTCATTCTTTTGCATGTGGCTGTCCAGTTTTCCCAACACCATTTATTGAAGAGACTTTTCTTTCTCCATTGTATGTTCTTAGCTCTTTTGTCGAAGATTAGCTGTCTGTGGATGTATAGTTTTCTTTCTGGGCTTTCAATGCTGTTCCATTGATCTGTGTGCCTGTTTTTGTACCAGTACCATGCTGTTTTGATCACTATAGCTTTGTAGTATGTTTGAAGTCAGGGATTGTGATGCCTCCAGCTTTGTTCTTTTTCCTCAGGATTGCTTTAGCTCTTTGGGATCTTTTGTTGCCCCATATGAATTTTAAGATTCTTTCTTCTATTTCCGTGAAGAATGTCATTGGGATTCTGATTCGGATTGCATTGAATCTGTAGATTGTTTTCGGTAGTGCGGACATTTTGACTATGTTTAGTCTCCCAATCCATGTGCATGGAATATCTTTCCATTTCTTTATGTCATTGTAGATTTCTTTCAAGTCTTACAGTTTTCGCTGTATGGGTCTTTCACCTCCTTGGTTACATTTATTCTAGATACTTTATTCTTTTCATTGCGATTGTAAATGGGATTGTATTCTTGAGTTCTTTCTGTTAGTTCGCTATTAGAGTACAGGAATGCAGCTGCTTTTTGTAAGTTGATTTTGTACCCTGCAACTTTTGTTGTAGTTGTTGATTATTGAATCTGGATTTTGAGTAATAGTCACAAGCCTTCCCCTATTCCAGAGTATCTCACCCGTGGCACTAATGACATTTTGGACTGAATTGGGGGGATGTCCTGTGCATTGTAAGATGTTTAGCTGCATCCCTAACATCTACCCACTTGATACCTGTAGGACTCTGACGCTTGTGGCAACCAAAAAATGTCTGCAGACATTACTGAATGTTCCCTGGGGACAGTGTTGTCGCTGGTTGAGAACCACTGCCCTATACCCAGGTTATAGAGAAATTCACCTATGCTCTCTTCTAGTGCTTGTGCAGTTTTGTTCTCCTGCATTTAGATCTCTGATCCATTTAGAGTTTATTCTTATGTATGGTGTCAAGGGTTGATCTAATTTTTCCAGATCATTCTCCAGTTGTCTCATCACCATTTATTAAAAAGTTCCATCTTTTCCAGTGATTTGAATGACCACCTTTATCATAGTCTAAATTGACATATGTACTTGGATCTATTTTTGTACTTCCTTTTCCATTACATTGGTCTATCTGTTCATGTGCTAGAATCACACTGATTTTGAATATATCATTCCACTCCTAGCTGTAGAGCTTCTGCTGAGAACCTGATGGAGGTTCCTTTGTAGGTTATTTTCTTCTCTCTGGCTGCCCTTAATATTCTTTCTTTGTCATTGGCTTTTGACAGTTTTAATATAAGCCTTGGAGAAGGTCTTTTTGTAGTGACATAATTAGCAGTTCTGTTAGCTGTTAGGTACTTGTGTATCCACTTTCTTCCCCAGGTTTGGGAAGTTCTCAGCTATTGTTTCTTTGAATAAGCTCTCTGCTCCTTTCTCCCTCTCTCCTCCATTTGGGATAACTATTATCCTTATGTTACTTTTCCTAATTGACTCAGATATTTCTCATAGAATTTCTTCGTTTTTTAAGTATCTTATTTCTCTCCTCTTCCACCGGAATCATTTCTGGATTTATATCTTCGAGCTCACTATTTCTGTCTTCTATATGATCGGCTTTATTTTTCAATCTTTCTACGTTACTTTTCATCTCATTAATTGTGTTCTCCATCTCCAGAATTTCTGTTTTTATTTTTAATTTTTAAAGTTTCAATCCTTTTGGTGAAGTACTCCTTCTGCTCCTTAATTTTATTCCTGAGCTCATTAACTGTCTTTCTGGATTTTCTTGTAACTCATTGCGTTTCTTCATGACAGCTATTTTGAATTCTGTGTCAGTTAGATTGTAATCTTCTGTGACTTCAAGTTTGGTTTCTGGAGAGTTGTCATTTTCTTTCTGTTCTGCAGTGTTACTGTAGTTCTTCATGGTACTTGATGAGTTGATCATCTGCTGGCACATTTGTGGTGATAACCACCTTTCTTATTTGAGTACGGCTTTGGTTACTTTAGTTCTGAGCTGCTTCTGGTTGTGTTTGAGAGCCTGCACTTTCTACCCTCTGCTGCCTCTGCTAGAGGTGTCGTCAGTGCCCTCCTTTTGCTTCTTATGCCTCTGAGGTTGCTGGTGCCTTGCTGCTTTTGATGTTACTGCAATCTTGGGTGTCACCATTGGGGTCACTGGGCTGTGAGCACTTCTGTTGCTTCTGGGGTTGCCTGGGTCTCGTGTTACTCTCCATGGGTTTTCCATGGGCTTGGATACTGCTGCCATGTGCACC